AACAAAAATAAATAAACAAAATAAATAAAATAAATAAAATAAGAACGAGAATAAGAATAAATAAAATACAAAAAAAAAATTACACTGTGGGTCCCTAAACTCCACCTGATCCATTTCTTAATTGAAATCATTTTATTACTATAACAAACATATTTTATTTTAATTTTATTATTACTTTATTCGATTATTATCCTTTTTATATAATAATCTACTCTCTGACTTTCAAATTCATTTGCATATACTTTTGAATTTTTTTAAATATTTTATTTTTTATTTTATCTTTTTAATTTTTTTATTTTTACATTATATTAAGTCGTTCTACTTACAAAACAAGAACTGGTGCTCACTGGAATGATCTTATTTATATTTAATATAAATACAAAATCACTTATTTTATTTTAACAAAAATAACTCTTACCAAAAACACACACAACACCTCATTTCAAGAGAATAAATCTTAACCAAAAACACACACAACACACCAAAAATCTCCATAACAGGATTAAAAACCAGACTAACTACCTGACAAAACTAAAAAAAAAAGGAAAAACGTTTTACCGATAACAAGCAATAAAATCCCTTTATGATTCTTAAAAGATTGAAAGGGACTTGCCGGGATTTGAACCCGGGCCTCGCCCATCCGAAAGACGAATGACTACCAAGCTACACCACAAGTCCATTGTCGGAGAAAATTTTTGCAAAAATATCATTAAATATAGATACCTAATTTTACATGTAAAGTTGAAGGATACATATTTAAAAAAAATTGTAATTTTATAAGTGATTATTATTTTATTAGTAATTTTTAAATTATGGTTTAAATATTCACATATAATATGTATAATTATCATATAGCTTGAATATACTATGGTATAATTTGATTAGTTTATAATATAAGCATAATAAATGAATTATAAAAAAAAAGTTGTATGGGTAAAAAAAGAAGATTAAACCCCAGCTTGAAGCGGTTTCTCATAAGTTTTTACGAATTTTTTTCTTCTTCTACTTTTTTTTAGTTAGCAATAAAAATGATTCCAGGTCGATTGGTTCCTGTTATATTATCTATTGGTGTTGGCATCGGTACTGGTTTTTATGTATTCCAACCCTTAATTAAGGAATACGAAGCGTAAGTAAGAAAATAATCCATCAATTTAAAAACTAATAAATGGAAAGCTATGCTTTAATGTTTTTATTTATATAATAATAGAAATAAAAGATAAAGGAAAATAAAAATAAAAATAAAAGCGAAATTCAATAGTAGTGAAAATAGTATAAATAAAAAAAATATTAAATATTCAATTTATTTTTTATTTTTATTTTTATAGAGACACTAAAGGTACTTGGATTTTACCTGAAGATCGTGAACGTATGGCTATTTTAGAAACTAAAAAACAACAACAGCAACAAGATACTCAACAATAATATCAGCAGCAAGAAGTAAAATTATCTTCTTTTCTTAAAAAATAAACCATTTAGCATAATAGACATATAATAAACCAAAAAATTTTAGTTTATATTTTTTTTCTTATTTGCTCCTTTATAAATTCAGTCACATTTTTTTTTCTTTTGAATTTTTTCCTCCACTCTTTTCTTTCTCTCTTCCTCATTTCACTCTTTTTTTTTTTTAGTATATAATATTTTGAATAATGTCAAAACCACAACCAGTTGCTGTAAATATACCAGAAGAGAAACAAGATGAATATGAAAAAAAAAATGTACATGAAGTTTATGAAGTAATAGCCAATCATTTTAGTGACACTAGGTACAAGGTAAATATTTTATACAACTATTTGACAAGTTCTGACAATGGGTATAATTTATAAACTTTAATTTTCAACCCATATATCTATTTATTTAGCCTTGGCCGGTTGTAGAAAATTTTTTATTCAGTTTATCGATTGGTAGTATAGGTGCTGATGTGGGTTGTGGAAATGGAAAGTATATAGGCGTTAATCCTAATGTATTTATTTCTGGATCAGATAGGTAATAGAGTAGAGTATATAATTGAAAAGGTATTTTTTAGCTTATTTTATTTTTTTGAAGAACTAGTATCATTATTATTATTATTTGTATTAATTTTATTTTTATTATTATCAACAGGAGCTCAAATTTAGTATCTATTGTACAAAATCGTGGATATGAGGGTCTTGTGGCAGACGGATTATCCTTACCTTATAGATCAAACGCTTTTGTAAGACTAAAAGCTACCAATAAACTTTTAAATACATATTTATATATTTTCATACATATGCTTATCTACTTTTTTCTTTTTTTTCTTTTTTATCTTTTAATATGTAGGATTTCGCTATATCAATTGCAGTTATTCATCATTTTTCAACACCAGAGCGAAGATTATCAGCCATTGAGGTAAGTTTAATCATTATTATCATTATTACCATTTAAAATTATAAATGGAGTTTTTAATAACATATATATATATATGCGTGTATATATTCCATTTCTATTTTATAGGAAATTCTTCGTATCGTTAAACCTGGTGGAAAGGTTCTTATTTTTGTATGGGCGTTAGAGCAAACAAAGTTCACTAAAAGAAACTTTCAAGAAAATGAACAAGATGTATTTGTACCATGGGTTTTAACAAAAAAAAAAGATGAAAATAGTGATGATGAAGCCCCTAAAGTTTTTAATAGGTAATATTTTTTATGTCATTAACAAAATGAATAAATATGGCTAAAAATTATTAACCTAATTTATTTTTATTTATTTATTTATTTGTTAGATATTATCACTTATTTAAGAAAGGAGAATTGGATGGATTATTTGAAAAAATCGATAATGTATCTGTAGATATTGCAGGATACGATAGGGATAATCATTATGTCATTGCTACAAAATTACAATAAAATCATTTGATTGATAATGAACATGATTTAAATAATAAATTTTATTAAACCACAATAATTGATACTTGTGCAACAAAGGGAACAATGCATTCATTTCGGGAAAATTGGTATAAATTAAAATTACAGAAAAAAGAAAAAGAAAAAAAAATACAATTTATTCATTGGGAAAAACACAGATCTTCAATATAAAAAATTAGATATTACCAATTGATTGTCATTTGTAATATTGCAAAATGATAATGATTTATTAGAGAAAAAATAAAATAAAATTACCTTCCCGTTTATTTTTATTTTTCCCGCTGTGAAAAAACAACTATGGAATCTACTGTTCCCAACTTTTCCGTAAGTTTTAAAAAATATTAATTAAAAAATATGGAGAAAAAAAATGGAAAGTTTAAAGTTAGCAGCATCAATTTATTAATTGACTTTTTTATACTATATTTACATTTGTAGATTAACTTAATCATGTTAGGTTTAGATTTTTAATAATTATAATATTTATACCATTTTGTCCTACAAAGGTAATATTCTGAAAAAAAAAAAAAGAAAAATTCTGAAAAAAAGACAAATTCTGTAAAAAAATTACAAATATAAATAAACTTTTATACATGTTATTTTTTCTTTCTCTTTCCTTCTTTATTCTTATTCCAAATTTTATTAATTTAAAAAATACAATTTAATAATAGTCTATTAGAAATGCGTGTCTTGACTTTAACTACTGCTATTGCTTTATTAACTCTTAACTTTGCCCAAGAGGCTTCCGCCTTCCCTACTGGTAACAAAACAATTACCGATTGGTCAACTAAGCAAGTCGATGTAAGTATCTCAAAGATGTTTTCATCCATTAATCCACCTGGTTCCGCAAAAGGATTCCTTGCTGCCTCTCTCTCTACTTCAAATCCCGATTATTATTACAGCTGGACTCGTGATTCTGCTCTTTCCTTTCGTGTATTAGTTGATCAACTTCGTTCAGGTGATAATAGTACTATTGATGGTTTGATCCAAGATTATATAACTTATTCTAAAAATGCTCAATCTACTTCTACTGCTTGTAACTGTCTTGGTGAACCCAAATTTAATCCTGATGGTAGTAGCTTTACAGGACCTTGGTAATAATGATAGAAATAAAAGAATATTACATCATAAATAAAACTATAAAAATGGCCCTTTTTTAATATTCTTCATTTACTAATTATATACGTATAATCCTATTCTTTTAGGGGACGTCCACAAAGTAATGCTGATAAAAATAACAATAAAATACAATAATGATTATAGTACTAATGGAAAAAATTCTAATTTATTTATTTTTACTTTTACTATTACTATTTCTTTAAAGATGATGGTCCTGCTGAAAGAGCTACTACTTTGATTATTTACTCTAATATAGTCAAATCATCAGATTTGAAGCCAATGATTTACAAGGATTTGGATTATATTACAACAGTTTGGGACAATCAAAACTTTGATCTTTGGGAAGAAGTTAATGGACGTCATTTCTTTACATATATGGTGATGAGACGTGGATTGCTCGATGGTGCTGAATTTGCTACAAAGAATGGAGATACTGATAAAGCCAACAGCTATAAATCCACTGTAACTGAAATTGAAAATAAAATCAATAGTTTTTGGAAGGACGATGGTGGCTATGTTACTGTTACTATTGATCAATCTGGCGGTGCCTCGAAGTCAAGTGGTTTAGATACAAGTGTATTAATCGCCGCTAATGTTGGAAGTCGTAATGATGGTTTTTATACACCTGGTTCAGATAAAGTAAATTATAATTAAAATAGCTATATGATGTAATATAGTTATCATTATTATTTTTATTAATAATTATAATTATGTAATTATATATATATATATTTGTGTTTTATCTTATAGATGCTTGCAACAGCTGTTAAAATTGAAAACTCCTTTACTGATCTTTACGCAATTAATCAAAAGAAAGAAGGTTATCTTGGTACAGCTATAGGTATGTAATGAAAAATATAAATTTTTTACTGATTTAAATACATAAATTAATAATATCTCACTCTCTTCACCTTTTTTTTTTTTTTATTAAATTTTGTTATTTTAGGCCGTTATCCTGAAGATGTTTATGACGGTAATGGTACTAGTAAAGGAAATCCCTGGTTTATATGTACAAATGCTTTTGCTGAATTATATTACCGTGCAATCAAGGAATGGACAGATAATGGAAGTGTTAAAGTGACATCAATCAGTCTTCCTTTCTTTAAGAAATTCGACGACAGTGCTTCTGATGGTACAACTTATACTGCTGGCTCTGATCAATTTAACACTTTAGTAGACAAAATTGCCTTGGCTGCTGATCAATTCCTCTCAACTGTTAAAACTTATCAACATCAAAATGGCTCTATGTCTGAACAATATAATCGTGATACTGGAAATAATCAAGGTGCCTATGATTTGACTTGGTAAAGAAAAATATAGTAGGATCATCAAAGCATAAATGCATATCTATATATTTATAAATGCTTATCGTCAATATTTTATTTATTTACTTATTTTATATGATATATAGGAGTCATGCTTCAACTCTTACGGCTATCCATGCAAAGAATGGTAACCCGGACTTGTAATGTGTTATTATTTTTACTTAATACCTATCAGTCTTTTATATAAAATAAATTATATATGTATTAAGTTTTTTTTTCTCAAAATGTAGTGAATAAAAGGTTTATTAAATTATTATTTAAATAAAAATTTGATCACGACTACATATAAGATAATTAAAAAAGTTTTTTGAAATGAATAGTTCTTATGCATACTGTAGGTTGAATAAATGAATAT